AGTACGAGCGCCTGAAGAAGGAGTACGAGATCTTCCGCGTCAGCAAGAACAACGAGGTGGCCTCCATGGTGAAGAAGGAGGCCAAACTGGACAGGGAGAACAAGCGGCTGCGCGCCGAACTGCAGGTAGCTCCCGCCGACCTCTCGGACGAGGGGGCTGAGCGGCCAAGCGTGGCCCTTCCGCCTGAGGGTGCGAAGGACTCGTCCCCTTTCCCAGGGAAGCGGTGGCAGGGAGGTGACGGGTGGGATGAGTTTTCCTTCCCGGGGAAGGCAGGGTGCCGGGGAAATGGTGCGTGTCGCAGTGCCATCCTGTCGGGCTGTCAGGGTGCGGTCACGGCGTGCCTTTGGGGATGGGGAGCATGCGGGGCGCGGCCGTCACCCTTAGAGGAAAGAGAGGTAGGGTGCTGGGGTAACGTTGTATTCAGACCTGAGTTTCACTAGCTGAGAAGTAATCTAAAACCTTTTGTCAGCCACTGTTTTCACTCGGAAAAATGTTAAATGTTTTCAGGCACTTCAGAAAACTTACCAGAAAATACTTAGAGAGAAAGAAAGTGCATTAGAAGCTAAATACCAAGCCATGGAGAGAGCTGCTACTTTTGAACATGATCGAGACAAAGTTAAAAGGCAATTCAAGGTATGATTTGACTTTTGTTTTCCTGGGAAAATGACCACAAGGAGAAAAAAAAAAAAATAGCTATCACTGGGTCACATTCCTGCAGTGAACTCTTGTCCAATAGCTTTCATGAGGACCTTTCTTTAAAAAAATAAAGTAAAATAATAATTTTGCAGTATACAGCTGTAGCTCCTTATTTTCTTCAAGATAATACTATCAAAACCTCTCTGTAAAACTAAGAGGACAAAATAGAAAATAACTTTTAAAATATTAAAAGGAGAATATCCTCTGAACACAGGAATATATTCGTATTTGAGAGTGACAAGAAAACACGGACTGACACATGCTGAAGGAATGTATAAACACTGGATTCCATTATTTCTGAATAAATTGTAATGTTCAACACTTCTAGCTTACATTAAAGAACAGGGTTCCTTGGTGCATCTGTTCTGGCTGCTAAAATATCATCGCCAGTTTGAGACAAAAGCCTTTGCACTTTCTGGAAAAATGATTTGAAAGACCAAGCTGATGCTTTTACTTTTTTCACTTGCTGCAGATAATGATCCTTCTACAACCCGAAACAGGGCACCAGGTCCTGGTTTTACACTGTTTACAAGATTCTTGATATTTTTAATTGTAGCAGGTCTTAACGTTTGGCAAAAGAGGATTGGTTTTGGCCTTTCTTAAGAAAATGAGACGTGAAGATTTCATGTCTTTGTGTTTAAATCTAGGTTTGTGTTTTATTCCCCTCATGATAGTAGTATTTTACAAACAGGACAGCTGGAGATGCTTGATCACTTTGTATCTTAGGTAATTTAAATTTCTGTAACAATCAAAATTAAATACAAGATTATATGTAAGTGTAAAACAAATATGTAGAAGAGTAAAAGGGAACCTTTGAAAAAAAAATATTACATGTACTGATTTTAGAAGACAACAAACTTTAAAAGGTGAAGAAAGTTACTGTTTTTAATGAACTTCCTGTACTATTGCAGGCTTCTAACTTTCAGAACAGTGTGCTAAGGTTTAAAATGGTAAAATTTTTTAAAAATATCATTTTAAACTGTTTCCCTGCTCATTTATAGGCTCCTGATGGCTTCTTGGTCACATTTTCATGCCTTTGCTTTCTAAATGAACTCTAGAGACTTATTTTTCCAGTTGAAAGCAGATAACATAAATTCAGGAACTGATATTGATTTTCAAAAGATTTATGGTTTGTATTTCTTATTTTTGTTGTTTTGTTTTTTTTCTTTCCTGCTCGTAGATTTTTAGGGAAACTAAAGAAAATGAGATTCAGGACTTGCTGAGGGCTAAACGAGAGCTAGAAGCTAAACTTCAGAGACTCCAGGCCCAAGGAATCCAAGTGTTTGATCCTGAAGAGTCTGATTCTGATGACAATTGTACAGATGTTACGGGTGAGAATTTAATCCCCTGCACTTTGTGTTGGAACATGACTGGTCTCTAAATAGTAAAGCACAAGACAAATGTTTATGTTCTTTTGAAAAAAGTTTTATTAATCCAGATTAAAAAGCAACATAACAGTTTAAAGGGTAAAACCAGCTGACGTTACAAACTTGGTTTAGATTGTGAGAACCCCACGTTTCTGGTCCTATGAATGAATAGATGAAGAAAATAGAACACTGTCTAGGCACACTGACTTGAATTTTTTTTTTTTAAAATTGTTCCATCAACAATTTTGAGTTTTCTAGTCTTTTCTGAGTTTTTTGGTTCTGAGAGATCATGTTCCAAAGGATCCAAAAAGCACACCTGAAACTTAGATAGAGTTACTGTGTATGGATGGTGAAATATGTCAGTCTCAGCTGCTGTGCTTTAGCAGTTAGATATTTAACAAGAAAGAACTGACCAAAAGAATAATTTTATTGAAGACTTTTTTGAAAGGGAAGCTCTGGCAAACTTAATGACATAAAAGGCAAAACCTTGTATATGCTTCAAGTAGGATTTGAAAACATGGGAAGGATTCAGATAGGTATGTAATCACTCTTCTGACTTTGTATCTCATTCAGAATAGAGCAATAATTGTAGCAGACAGTTAGCACCTTACCACTTTTAAGGATGGCCACCTTTATTACTTCTTGAACCATGAAGGGTTACTGAGGGAAAACTGTGTGCAAGTGCTGTTGCTTAACCTTTGGTTTGCTTATTGAGATATATCAACAGTCACATCTTGGCAGGAGTATAAATATGCAGTCTTTAAAAGCAGAAACATTTCAAAATGCAGTGATGGGCTTTTTGCATAGTAATTATGCATTTGATGAACTTTAGTGGTACGGATAGTCTTGTTTTCTTTTATGTATTTTTTTTTCTGTCTTCTTTTGTGTTAAATTAATCTTTGAATTCACACTTCACTTCTTATATTTTTCTAAATCTTTTTCAATTCCCTGAGTTTCTCCATGTAAGATTTATTTAGTGTCTTCAAAGTTGTCTGTTGATTGGCAGAAGTGTAGTCTAAGCATATTATGAAGAGTTACTGTGAAAGCTCTTTCTCACACAGAGGATATATTTCCATCCTGACCTACAGCCCCTTTATGCTCTTTCAGTTCTGGAACTTTCCTGAACCCAACGGATGTGAGCGATCCGTATAATAACAAATAATAGCAAACAACCTTGTCCTTTAGCAGCATGGCTTCTCAGTACCTCCTGTTTGGAACTGCAGCATACAAAAGTGCGAGCAAATCTCTTAAGGGAGGAAAAAATTATGATCAGTGGGATGTGACAGTAGGTTTCAGCTGGAGTATTTAAGACTGATAATTTACCTTGTTTAGTGACAATGAAGAGGTGTGTTGGTTTTTTTCCCCAATATTAGCTACTGGGGCACAGTCTGAATACTGGAATGGAGGAGCTTTGGGAAGTGAGCCGTCCATGGGTAGTCTGATGCAGCTTCAGCAGTCTTTCAGAGGGCCTGAATTTGCTCATAGCTCTATAGATGTTGAGGGACCATTTGCAAATATAAACAGAGGTAAGTAGTGGTGGTTTGTTTTGCTGGGATTATATATGTATATGTAGTTTTTCTATGCATTCTTAAACAATTTTGTTCTTTCTTAGCTTCTTTTCTGTCCATTCTTGGGTAGTTTGACTAAAGGGTTATTTGGAGTTCTTCTTTGTAAAAATAAAAGGAATCTATAGCTGTACATGCTAAGTTATGTTTAATATATTTGGTGACTACAGTATGTGCAGTAGTGATTTTAGCAAACAGCAGTGATAGTGCTTCATTGTGAGAAAACCAAATACCATTTTGTTGCTTAAGTTGACTAAGGAAGATGATGATCTTTATTTCAATATCTGCTGGCATTCTTTTTTTTTTTACATTTTTATTCAAATTCTCTACTTTCCAAGTATGAATGTTACATTTGTATTAGAATAAAATATATCTCCATTTTTTTTTTTCCTGGGATTTGCATGGGTTTTGAGTCTGCTTAGGGGGTCATTCATGGAAATCTCATTGCAAGACCAGGATGTATGCATTGTTACAGGAATTGGTGTTAGGTATTTTGTTATCAGTAACTGTTACTTTTGACCTTTGTTTCCCAAGTGGCCTCTTGGAAATTTTTTTCCTGTGCTGTGGTTTTCCTCGCTGTTGTCCTGGTCCTGGAACGCCTCTTCCATGTAGTTGGCTTTGCTGTCGGTTTCTCCCTATTTTTGGTCAATCCTTCAGGCTCTGATTCAGAAGTCTGTGCCTGCAAAGTGAGAGGGGAGGGTCTGCTCTGTGATGGCTCCAGCTTCATATACTAAGCCTTTCATCATGCCATGTGGTACTGAAAGGGAAACCTATTCCTAGCTTGAAAGAATGACCAGTCACAGAATGAAGAACTTAATTTTAAAATTCATTGCTTCTATAGGGAATTGACGTACAGTACTACAGAAAGCAATGGACTCTATCTCAAGAACAGGAAGCTCCTAAAGCTGTCATTTATGCACATGATCTTACTGAAATACATGCAGATCTGGAGGAAAAAAAAATATGAACAATTATGAGTTCTGTATTCCTGTGCATTTTTACTTATTTTACAACTATCAGCTTGATTTTTGTGGATACATTTCATCAATCCTATTTAAAGGAAATATCATTTTAATGATAATATGAATAAACTTAACACTGTTGTTTTGCCACATTAACAAATTATATTAGATTATCAGATTATATGAGTTCTCTAAATTCAAGTTTTTAAAATTAAAATAGTTGAGTAACAGTGTTACTACTACTTTAAACAAAATGTATTCATAACATTGAGAAGTGATGATTTATCTGTTATGCAGTGTAATCAGATGTGCAGATCTCTGGACTTCATTTTGTGCTTTTTTTCCATTGGCAGATGATTGGGATGCTGCTGTCGCCAGTTTACTACAGGTTACTCCTCTGTTTTCCCACTCTCTGTGGAGTAACACAGTAAGGTGTTTTATTATTAGTACTGATGAGACTCTACCAGAAGTGGACATCTTCATTAGTGTGAGTACCTCACAAACTTATGCTAACTTATATGCTGTTATGTTTCTACTGTGATACTTATTCAGACATATTTCTAATATTTCTTGAAAACATTAGTAGATGTGGCCTGATTTCAGTGAAGTCAATGTAAAAGTATTGTCAAGGACTTCACGGGTGGAAGCTGCATAGAGAAAAGCAACTGAGATATATCTAGTAGGTCCTTAATGCTATGAAGAGTTAGTAATAAAGCACTGTTATCCAAATTTGTTTTCAGAACTACTCACCAAAACTTCAAAGAATCTGTGAAACAATGGGGTATTTCTTTCAAGTTGTTCATTTTTCAGCAGAAAATGAAAGGCCTGTTAAGGATGTAAGAAAGTGGGAAATTGAAAAAAGTTCATTAGTCATTTTGCTCCTGCATTTAACTTTGCCAAGGTAAGTATTTTCCAGACTGGTAAAGCAAACTGAAACTGGTAATTTATGCAGACTGCATAGCTTATTAAAATGTATGTGATGCTTTGCTCAGTACATTTCCTGAGCTAGTGCCTTCTAAATGATACTCCTTCAAACTTTAGGTTTGCTCCTGCAGACAGTTATAAGAATGTATCAGCTTTGTATAATTTCTTTCTTCTTGTAGCTACAGATTCTCTTAAAATACAGCATGAAAGATGTCTTCAGAATACAGAAATGTTTTGCTTTCCAAGAGCAGCTCTTTGTCATGCATATTTCTGGAGTCTTAGGGATTCAAGATGGCTGGTGTGAATGTCTTCAGTGCTTTTCATTTGCTTATGTAGCCTTATACTTGTCTGTAGTTTTTTTTATTTTATTCTGTCACATTATTTTCTATCTTTGTCTATTTTCTGGACTGATTTAGTGGTTCTGCTGTGTGGTACCCTATTCTAGCTTTCTACAGCTTCATTTGCTGAAGTCAGGAGGTTTTATGACAAGTAGTGATGCAATATGTTGCGTTTGTTCAGTGAGTGATTTCCTAACCTTCTAGAAGAAGAAACATGACTTACTACATGAAAAACCCCAAACTAGGGATACTTCTAGAGTTATGTAAGGACTATTTCTGTTATGCATTTGGGAATTTTGGGCAGAGTTTAATTTTGATGTTTGGTGGAGGGAGGGTTGTCTTTTTGCTGAAGAAGAGATTAGAAAAGGTAATATTAAGGATCAGAGAGTGGTCCCCCCAAAACATTTGTGTGCAAATGCAAACTCTGAAAATACTGGTAGGCATTTAGTTTTATATTAGGGGTAGGATTTCAAATACTGTTGTATTATTAGAGCTCTTGTATTAACTAAACATCCTGTTTCTGTAAAGAAAACATCTGACTGCAGAGAATTAAGACACTAATAGCTAAGATTACAACAGTGGAGTGCTTCAGGAAACAGCCAGGAACCACAGGAGATGTTGATTTATTTCCATAGAGGAATTGAATTAGAGCTGCCATACATTTATGGTCGTGGAAAGATAACGTCAGCTGCTGAGGGTATATTGACACTTCAAAGCGATACTGTTGACAAATAATCCAGCTTTATGATTGTGGGTCACAAGTGTTAAAGAACAAAATACACAAAGCAGTGTTCCTGACAACACTATTCACTTAGAGAGTTTCTCTTAGAAAAACTGTGGTGAAAATTGTAATGCTCATATAAAGTACATATTTGAGAGATCCTGTCTGCTATTGTCAGCATCCCCAAGTTGTATAGCTCCTTCCGTGGAAGAGCAATAGATTGCTGGGAATGATATCCGTTTGAGTTTGGAGGTGTGTAATTCTCCTTTTCAACTACTATAAATTAAAAGACTACCCTACATCTGACAAATACTGAAGGACTTTTCCCAAAATGGTCGAGGAATAGAACAGAACCATCAAATAAGTAATTGCAGAACATGTATATGATGCTTGTTAATCAAATGTGAATCCATGTTCTTTCCATGTGAGGCAATTACCTTTCACTTTGCATATTGTTATGACAGGAAAATAAACTTCTAATTTTCAAAGCAATAATCCTAAAAATTAATAAATGTTTTTAATGTTTTTGGTACAAATACCATAAATTTCTCTCTTGGCTATTCTTTGCTTCAGAGATTATCTTAAATGCTCTGCTGTGATATTTGCTTGCCCTTTGTTGTAGATAGATATGACTTCTGAATTAGATTTTGCAGTGGAACTTCAGAGCTTGTGTTGATTGAACTGTTTGCTACAGCAGTGCAATATAGCACAAGAATGCTGATTTCCAATCTAGTTGTTTGTTGGAGGACTGTGAAGAAGCCTTCTTGAGAAATCCAGAAGAAAAACCCCGGCTAATTTACCACAGAAAGGAGGAGGGCAGAATCAGTTCAGCTTCAGTGCAACAGTTAATTGAGCAGATTTCTTGCATGAACAAAGCAAAGGTATGGCATTTTAAAGACTGTTGAATTTTAAAAGGCTTACTTTCCTACTATAAACAACCTTGAGTACTAGTAGTCCCAGATTTTAGGTGGAATTGCATTACACTTATTGCTCTGGATGCTCATTATATGAGCAGATTGAATGAAGCTGAAATTTATAAATGTTATGAAATTTTCATTAGCAGGAGAGAAAAAGAACCACTTCATTTCACTGAAAAAAAAATCTGTATGCTATAAGGATGGAATTTATCAGCTATGTTTAGCCATTTAAGTGGTAAAGTTATTTATCTAAGGTCCCTCTATAACCACTGAAGAGAAAGAAGTGTACCTTCAGAGAGATTCCTCCCATCTGAAAATAGATTGGTTGCCATTTATTTTTCTCGACAGAGAGAACTGTTGAGAACAGCTGAAACTGGATGCCCAGCTTTTAAAAGCTTAAGCAAAGTTAATGCTTCCTAAGGAATGAAACAGAATGGAATTTAAATGTGTTCCCGAATGTTTTTGTTTGAAGTCCTAAATACTGTTCCCATTTGGGTTCGGAGTTGCGTCATGCTTTGCCATTTACTTTTTCAGATGATTGATCATGTCGGAGGTGTGGAGGAAGGAGCATATGAGATCTATAACTGTGTGGAAAAGATAATTAAACAGGTAGAGTACGTGATGCATTTCAGTTCCTGCTCTGATATATGATCTTAAATGATGTATTGTGATTACTATATGCTACTTAGATGTAATTCAAAGGATCTTTGTGTTTTACCATTAATATCTGTCAACCAAAGAAATGCAGGTAGAAAATAAAGCCCAAAACTGAGCAGTGCTTTTATGGACATAAGCAGAAATAACAGGGAAAAGGGATCTATCTGTGGCTTAAATTATCTTTTAATTTCTCTTTATCCATACCATAGTATAAGGAAAGATTGCATAGTCCGTTATCTCTTTATCCTTCTTTGTGGTGAGTTGCTTCAACTATGAGAAAACTAACACCAGTGTCTCAAAACCTGTGTGTTGAGAGTTAACTTGGCTTCATCTGATTGCTCATTTGTTTATGTTCTCTGCTAGCCTAAAAGGAAATGAGCACATTGATGAGCTGCAGTCATATACAGTGGAATTGAGAATAACAGCAAATGTGCCTGCACTGTTAAGAATTATAGTTGTGGTTTTCTCCATGTAACTTAGGATTTATTGGGCTGTGAAATGACAGAACTAGAAGGCAAGGATTTGGGTAATAAGGAAGAGTCCACTGCTCCTGAAGAAGAAGTTTTTGGTGATGTTTTGTGGGATGCGCATGACGAACAAGAACAGATGGAAGCTTTTCAGCAGGCTTCTAATTCAACATGTGAGCTGGGATTTGAGAAGGTAAGTACACTGGAAATGTATGTGGATGAAGAGAAAGTCACACTCATTTCCATCTCTTCTTAGGCAAGATGTACTTCTACAGAAGAAGCTGTGTCTGAGAGTATCCTTGAGGCTATTACTCCTTAGGCTAGAAGAAGCCATATGTCTTCTATAGATGGCATATTTATTTTCTGGGAGAGGTGCCAGTTTGTGTTTTGATGAAGGACATTGATGAAGAAGCAGTTGTTGTTCCTACACTGGGGAAAAGCACTGTAACAGTGTGCCAGAAGTAGGGTGTCCTAGACTTTGGTTGTCAATAGAAAAGGCACTGAATATCTTCTCTTTTTTTCTTTTTCTTTTTTTTATTTTTTTTTTTAATGTTGAGGAAATCTGAGCTCTGTCTTGACACTTGGAGTTAGGTCTTTTGGAGATGGCTAATGAAAAGTTTTCATCTCATCACTATGCCACACACATGTGAGAAGAACATAGGAAAGTTAAAAGTAGAGAGCTGCTGAGTAACTCAGTACTTACTTATTGCTTGAAATATATATATATATTTTAAAAATATTTCAAATTGGAGGTATCAGGAACAGATATATGTAGGGAAGGTATAATGAATGTAGGAAGAAAAAACATTGAAGAGGTCATGGAAAGTGATGCCACAGCTTATCTGGGCAAATTCCTTGCTATAATGTAACAGGCATGCAGTTTCTGTGTTACTGTATTTAAATTGTTAGTATCCCTGTTTTACTAGCCTTTTACTTCACTACTCATATATCGGTAATAGGTTGAAGGGTTGTGCCAGCTTCACTACATGCTAGAACAGTAAAATGACAGAACATTAATAGAAAGAATAACTGTGTGTATCTTAGTGTGCCTCTGCTGCTTTTTTGCAGACAGACTATTTCTCCCAAGTGGATGAAGGGTGGTTTTTGGTTTTGTTTTTTGGTTTGTTTGGGTTTGTTTGTTTGTTTTTTGTCATCCTGAACTCTGCTACAACATTTTGGGGCATTAGTGTAGTGAAAGAAAGCCTTTCTTTTTGGTGCTTAGTGCCTCAATATATCATTCATGGCAGATGCCAGCTTTGAAGGCTTTGTCCTGGCAACCATATCCAGTGCAGTGGAGTAGCTGGGAGAAGGGGCAGGAGGGGAAGGCTGAACAAACAGTACCCAATTGCTTTGCTGTAGTAACACCAGTTCAGTTTATTAGCACAGAAAGTTCCTATTAAATAAAGTTTTGAAAAAAAATGATAATTTATTTTACACTTTTTTTAAAAGAGATAATAAATTCTGTGGTTTAAGTGTTTCATTGCAAAATTTATTTCCATTTGTATTATGTTGTGTTTTAGTAGTTATTCCATTACCTTAATAAATCTGTATATGCATTTTGTATCTAGATAGTTTACAATACCAAGCACTATATTTCTCTGTTAAACAATGGAATATTTGTAATGATTGTTTCTTTTTTGTAGTATTTTGAACGTCTAAATGACCTAGTAGCAGCACCAGCACCAATTCCACCTCTGCTTGTATCAGGAGGACCAGGCTCTGGAAAATCTCTCCTTCTGTCAAAATGGTAGTTTAAACTATTTTTTTTTTTGTTTTTTATTAATTAAATTCCAGAAAAAAGTTTCCATTATGTTTCAAACATCATATCAGTTTAATTAGAGGTAAAATGGGAGTATTTACAAAGCACTGAAGTTATTGAAGCACCCTGGAAAGATTTGTATTGAGTAGCTAATTCCATCTGGACTGCCTTTAACGTCTCCCTGACTCCCATTGCAACACCCTATGGATCTGTCTTTGCACAGCATTAATAAGTAGTTTCAGCAGCTCAATAGTGTTGCCCTTCTCTTATACCCATGAGAGGTCCTTTGAAGTCTTTTTAACTAAAATAAAAGGAAGATCAGACCTAATAATTTATCATAGAAATGCATTTTATGGTCACTCATAGGCTATGACAAAATTGGCTGCCATAAAAGGAAATTGATAGTATCATTACTTCTTAAAAGCTTAGTGTCATATGACTAACCTGTGCTAGGAAGGGCACTTGTTAGGCAGTACTGGGGAGAGCAAAAATGGAATCAGACGTAAAAACATCTATTGTAGCTCAGGAAATGTTGATCCTATTTTGTAAGATAAACATGGAACACCTCTGGCTCAGACACTCTATCTCCTTTGGCAAAACTGATAGTTTTTATTTGAGATATAAGTATATTTGCAAAATTGTGGTTGATTAAGTGTTTTTTTGTTGTTTTTTTTTTTTAACTTTTCTCGTTAGGATTCAATTGCAACAGAAACATTCACCAAACACTCTAATTCTTTATCACTTTGTTGGGAGGCCCATGTCTGCTAGTTCGGAATCTGCATTGGTAATTAAACGCCTTACTTTAAAGGTATGTTGTGTTATTATATACCCTGCAGATTTTTCTGCATCAGGTTAGAGTAATACAAATGTAAGACACTGCAGAATGGGGAAAATCTGATCCTATACGTTGAATGCAGGTAACTTAAATAGCATCTCTGGGGTATTCATAATAGATTGGCATTAGCAGTTATGCTTCCAGTGACCTATATTGATGGCTTATAAAGCCATGTAAACTTCTTCCAAAATTTCCTTGCCATCTGGCCAATAAGAGAGGCAGGTGGTACATCTTCTGTCGGTGTGTTCAGAAACCTGAGGCTGTATTCGCCAGTTGGCACCATATTGTTCATAGGCTAGTCTTTCTCCTGTGTTAATTTATTTTTTAATTGTGTGTTGGATAGGCGGTAAATATGTGAGGAGTATTTTTGTGCCCAGTTCTGAGCTTTCTTTTTCCTCCACAGGGTGGCACTAAGGACCTCACAGGACTAAAACCTTTAGAAAAATGAAATAAATTGTGCTGTCCTTGCAATTTTCTCATGTATTTTAGAAATCTGCCTATTTAACCTGTGCAACTTTTAAGCCCTTTAAGTCTCCAAATTCCTTGTGCATTGTGTAAACACACATTATCTCTCTAGAATTTACACAATGAGTTCAATAAATATTCTTTCTTCTGCCTATGCCAGCTTCCTCCATATACTAGAAAGAATCCTGCGTGAACTGGACTAGAAAAACTACCCCAGAATAACATTTTGGGTTTTTCTCCTCTTGTGTCTATAGGACTTCTTTCAACTACCCTAGCTGGTTTGTAAGGTACAATTTGTTATGTGTGTTTGTAATTCTGCAGCTTATGCAACACTCATGGTTAATGTCACCTCTGACCTTGGATCCAGCTAAACTTCTGGAAGAGTTTCCCCGCTGGCTGGAAAAGCTTTCTGCACGTCATCAAGGCAGCATTATTATAATTATTGATTCTATTGACCAAATACAGGTATGTTTTCAAAATACTTGCCATTTGTCAGTGTGAAGGGAACCTTGACTATTGTAATAGCTTCAGCTATATCTATGTAACAGAAATATGTTTGCTTTGCTCTATAGAGTACCTGTAGAAACTAATTTTGCAAAAAGTGCAGATGAGTTAAATAGTTCATTTTTATAGTGTTGGGTTGTTTTCTTTGTGGTTTTGGGGTTTTTTTTTCCCCTACATTTATTTTAACACCTTAATTTTTGAGCAGTCCAGTTACTTTGTTTATCCCAAGGTTCAAGGCTGTGAGCTGACTTACTGGGCATGTTAAATAGCCTAGTCCTTGATGTGAATATTGAAACAATAGTGTTCTATCTGCTTTATTTAATGTATACTCATGCTGATACATGTCAGTAGATACTTTAGTACTGTTTCAAGAACCATATAATGAATAATTTTTAAGGACACTGGAGAATTTAAGAATCCTTTCACTAAGCTGTGCAGTTAATTAAACCTATCAACTTCTGGTATTTGTTTTGAATGACCTTTGTATTAAGTAGCCAAAATTTGTTTTTAAGCAAGCTGAGAAGCATATGAAATGGCTGATAGATCCACTGCCAGTGAACGTGAGAGTGATTGTATCAGTGAATGTAGAAACATGTCCACAAGCTTGGAGGTATGTTTATTTCTGAGATGTTTCAAAGTAGCCTAGGTTAGAATTATTGTTTTAAATTATCGTTACTTGTTGAAGAGCAAACAGCCAGATTTGTCAAGACCTGACGATTGAACAGATCAAGGTTTTGCAGCCACTGAGGACAATGAAAACTTCTCTATTGTAACTGCAGTGAGGACAGGTTTTGGCTGTTGTGAAACCAGGTTTTTGTTTTGCTGTGATGGATCTATCCAAATGACTATATGAAAGAGGTTATTAAATATAGTCAGACGCACATCAAGAACCATAATACCATAGTGCAGATCCAGGATAAGGCTAAAAGCAGTGATTTGACTTGTGATGACTAGAATTTCTGAGTAGGAGGGAATAGCTTCAATTACTGCTTTGATATCTATCTTCAAAAAGCTCTGGAACTTTGATTTCTCTTTTCCTTTTTTTGTGCTATTTAATAGGGTCTGAATATGACTTTGTTCTCTCTTACCAAAGGTTGTGGCCCACTCTTCATCTTGATCCACTGAATTCCAAAGATGTTAAATCTCTCATTAGTGCAGAATGTGACTGTGCAAATGTTAAATTAACTAAAGAGCAGGTATGTCTGTTGCAGTTCTTCTGAAGTACCTTACTCTACTATAACTTTTAATGAAAACATGGAAAGATGAAATAAACACAGCTGACAAAAGAAAGTATTATATTTAGCTAACTAAATACTACTGCTCAAGACAGGATGCAGTTTGTGTTTTTACCTCATGGCTCATAGCGCTGAAACACAGATGGAAGAGCATAAATTGTTAACACAAAACCAGTACAGTTACACATATTGCTGTAAACATGTTATTTCATTTTAGAATAATAGAAGGTTTAGTATTGCATAATACTGTAACAATGATTGGGTAAGTGGGGGTAATGCCTCTTTGCCTTGGAGAGTGATTTTTGTAAGCTAATACCTATCTTTAGATAGGTAATAGTTAGATCCTAACTCTTTTAATCATAAATTCGAAAGGAAAATTTCACTCATATGCTGCTGTTCTTAGAAAAACATGCAGTATTTGGTGCACTAGTTTCCATATTATAGTCTTCAAATGTTCCAGATAGAAGTGTATGTATAACTGCTATTTTCTTGTCAAACAGTGAACATTTTATTGGTATGGTTAATTTTATCTTGTCTCACAGGTTTGTTTTTAAAATGTTGTAGGAGAAGAAGCTTGAGAGACATTGTCGTTCTGCCACAACTTGCAATGCTTTGTATGTCACTCTCTTGGGCAAAACCATTGCTTGGTGAGTTGAGATGATCTTTAAATTATTATGCTCATCACTAGATTAGAAGACTTGAAGTAGGCTTGTTAGCATTTTGAAATACAATAATTTAAATTAGAATTAATCTTGTTAAGAAAAAACAATGAGCAGTATACAAAATTTCCTCCCTTCACTGACTGTGAATGCAATGGCAAGAAAGATCAGAAATTGTGTGTTTTGGTGCTAAGTGAATCCAAATAGTTGTATCTGCCTGTTTTCAGCTCTTCTGTTTTTATTTAATTGCCCTCTTGTATTGATTTCTGAGTGTGTCAGTTGCTTTAATGCTTTTTAATGATATTTGAAGAATGTTGGTACTGTTTTGTTAAACAGTTTAATTAAGGTCTATTGTATTTACTGATGTATCAGATAGTTTGCCTCATAGATTTTAAGGCTAAAAGGAAGTTCAGCAACTGTTTAGTTTAACATCCTGCATATGGTACTTTGCCCTATAATTCCTACTGTGGAGAAAATTAATCTCTCTTGTGCAAGAAAATACTTATTAATTGCATTGGCTTCTTATTAACCTAGACTTCATCTTGTTGAGAGAGACATATTTTTGATTTAGAGGCTCCCAGAAGATGATATACTGATTGATAATTTACCCTGGGTGACTGCTTTTTATTATTTTTTTGTTTGTTTTATGTCCTAGAATGTTTAATTGCTCTTGAAAACATGCTTTGTAAATGCATTAAATGCATCAGCATGTGATTTTATCTTTATCCAATCTGTTGTTCTTATTCTGTACTCCCACTGGAGGAAAGAACACTGCAACATACTTCTTCTTTTTTTGGAAAATAAAAATTGCTGCAGTTATTTAGAAGAGTCAAACGATATGATAGAATGTGGCTTTGGGAATTCACCTCTTCTGTGTTTAATCTCACTAAGTGCTGTGCATATTTTAAAGGCAGTAGGAATTCGGAGTGTTTTAGAGATAGAGTTCTCTGGTAGTGTCTTGGTTTAGTCAGTTGTTCTATCACCCAATGACCTCTCCCCACATGAGAAGGGGAAGAATAGGCCTCGGGAGTGGAATGATGGGTGAGACCCTCCAGGGATGACAGCCATTGAGGAAGAGAGCTTGTCCCTCACAAGATTTCCAATTTATAGTGAGCGTGGTGTTTATGGTATGGATGGAATACTTCTGTTGGCCAGCTTGGGTCAGCTGCCCTGGCTTTTGCTCCTCCTAGTCTTAGCACCTGGCTAACTCTAAACTGCTAAAGACCTTGATCACTATGGAAACCCACATACCATGGTTGGCCACAAACTGAAACAAAGTGTCTTATCAGCTTTGTTCTTACCAAATTGGGTGCTGTATTCTTCTTAAAAATGCAGCTTTTCTAACAGAGAATTAATTCTATGATTCTATCCCAGCAAAACCAGGACAGGTAGCTTCGATTCATCTTGCTCAGTCAAATTTAATATGCTAATCCATGCCCTTTTTGTCCTTTTGCTCAGTGTTGGAAGTACAGGAAATATTGATGAAATACTTCAACAGTGTTTCCAATGTCAAGACACAGTGTCACTGTACAGGCTTGTTCTGAGATCAGTTCAAGAGTCATTGCGGAGTGATAAAGAGAAAAGTCTTTTGAAAGAGGTAAGCAGAGAATGCTTCATTTTTTTTCTACAGGTAATGTGTATTCTTTCCTGTAAAAAGTTTTTCTTAAGCTAAAGTAAGTAGAAATTTGTGTTGGTTTATATGTGTGATTCAGGGATTACTGCACCATTAGTATTGAAGGGACAGTTTTGTTAATCTAACTTTTTCTGTTGCATACCTGTGGAACATAGGGCTTATCTGTGTTAAATTTCAACTTAATCATTATCTCCCAAAACAAAACAGAACTTTTCCACTATGATGTGATATAGAATCAGCAATTCCTTTGGTACTCTAATCCAACAATTAACTGCATTGAGCATAATAAATCTAGTCAAAACATGGTATTGTAAATACAAGGCACTGCTTATTAGATTTCTGATTCCTCTCCCTACCTTTGCAGAATTTCCTGGTTGTGTGGAACATTTTTTGGTTTAGGACATGATACTCAATAATTCCTAGAAGTTCTTTGGTGCTGACAGCATAAGACCTTCAGCATATTTTACTTAGGTGAAGTTCCTTATAATAATGGAGTTATTTTTCTCTAGTGTTTTGGAGGAAAATGTAAGGAATCATTTGTTTGTCCCAGAGTTTAGTTATTTTTTCCATTTGGTGCCTTATCTGTTAGAGTATTAATCCATTAGCACTGAGCATTGTTCTTAAAGGACAGAAAAGGGAGAGGGCTTGTGTAGGCAGGTTTTATGCCTTGTCATATAGAGTTATACACAGTGATACACAGCATTTTTTCATGGAATTTAAGTGTAGCTAAGCTAATTTGCTAACTGTGTAAATTTCTGCTTTATATAGATACTGTGTGTCATCAGTGTTAGCCACAATGGTGTGAGTGAGTCAGAACTGATGGAACTTTATCCTGAACTGTCTTCCACAGTGTTAGCCTCGCTTATTCACAGCCTGCACAAAATGTGTTTGCTGACATACGGCTGTGGTCTGCTAAAGTTCCAGCACCTCCAGGTAAATTATAAACATATGCAAGTGAAACTCCACCCCCTAAGCCCCTGCTGTCTTTTAAGTAAGTTCTGTTGTTATCTGGATAATATTTGTGTTTGCTCATCCAGTTTCCTTAACATCTGGTCAGATACTAGAATTGCCCTGAAAACTACTAGAACTGTGATACCAGGATTGTTCACTGTTGTTCAGCAGTTGAAAACCTGGCACTTCAAACCTTCAGAATTTTGCCTGATCTATTAGGTGTTAATTCCATGTGTCTTAGAAAACAGTAGTTCCACAAAAACCAAGCAGAAGTAAAGGAGATGGTAATATTATCTGAATAACAAGAGCTTTAGTCTAATATAAGACAACCTGTTTGTGCTGCCTTTGTCATCAAAAGATTTTCAGTTCTACAACATGAGACTTGCTTCATAAAGAAATCTTTCATAGTGCCCTGTGTATCATCGGCATTCAATAAACAAATTAAATGCATTTTCTTTCTCTCACTTATGCTCTCTTTCAGGCTTGGGAGATGGTGAGACTAGAGTATATGGAAGAAGGTGAAAATGTTATTTCTGCCTATAGGCAAAAACTAGTGGAATATTTCACCAGGCAGCTAAGGTAGGTCAGAATTCCCCAAGATGTGCTAAATTGCAGGCTTTGTGCCTTATGGATATTTTTGTTTTCTTCATACGGCTTCTTTCACTCAGTTTAGTAAATTGTTATCGCAAAATAACTCTGCAAAGCCATAGTTGTTAGTTGAGCAATTTATTACTGATATGATGGTTTTTAATCTTGGAAAAGATTGAGGACTATGGAGGGGAATGGGGATATAATAAAGTCATAATGTGATAAGGTAGAGCATGAATTTATACTTTATCAGTTATTTTGTGGTAACTTGACCTGTAGATTTTTAACTCACAGTAAATGCTAGGAAATTTGAGGTTGCTTGGAACTTGAAACAGAAGACCACTTGTGTTCAGCAAGCAATAAGCAGATAAGCAAGAAGAGGTCCAGTAGAAAAGCTGAACAGCTACAGTTCATATCCAGCTTGAAAACTGATTTGCATTTACAGTCTTGAGTTAGCGTGTCAAAGCTAGGGGCTACTGTGTACTGCTCCTCAGAGCATGCACTGTTGGGTGGCAGAAAGCCAAGAGGGTCATGTCAGGGAAAGGAGGCACAAAGGGACAGTGAGCTGCTGCAGAGCTGCAATTCTGCTAGCAGGCACAGATTCTTCTATATGGGAGGGAGGAGCAGCTTCCTGTGGGGTACCTGGAGATTCCAGTGCCCTCTGAAGTGAAATTAAAATGAAGATGTGAGAGTACAGAAGTCTTATAGTAATCTGTCTGCTTGTTCAGGTATGGCAATTGTATGCTTGCCTAGTTTTCACATCAAATTGACAAGTTCTGTTAGGCCCCTCAGAGTTTTAATTTTGATTTGCTTTTCTTTCAATAGTCGAGACCGAGTGACTTGGAGAAGTGCAGATGAACTTCCCTGGCTCTTCCAACAGCAGGGCGATAAGCAAAAGCTACACAAGTGTCTTCTGAATCTCTTTGTATCCCAAAACCTTTACAAAAGGTACAAAGGTAGCCACTGCTTTGGCGGTTATAAACATTTCGAAGTAACTTTTTGTCAATATAAATCAGGAAATGACAGATATAGGTTGAAGGAACTTAAATAGTACAGGCTGAAATACTAAATGCTGTTGTCCTATAAGTCATCTATTTTTTCTATGCTATTACACCTGGGGGTTGGTAAAGGGATAAATACTGCTGTTGAACAGCATTAGTCTCCATGCATTGCCCCTGTAAACACTGTGGCATAAAGAGAAAATTCATGCATGTGGCCCTTTTCTTCTTAACTTAGCATCAGTCTGAATAGAGGGGTGTCAGAGATAAGATGAGCATCTTATTTCCTTGTTAAAACAGGGGACATTTTGCAGAATTGCTGAGTTACTGGCAGCTGGTTGGGAAAGATAAGAGCTCTATGGCAGCTGAGTATTTTGACTCTCTGAAAGAATATGAAAAAAGCTGTGAGGGAGAGGAAAGTATGATCTGCCTGGCTGATCTTTATGAGACCCTGGGACGGTTTCTTAAGGACCTAGGTCTTCTCAGTCAGGTAAGTACATTTAGAGATTGTTGTAACAGTAAGGAGGCAAATTAAGCAGAGCTCAGCGTTGTGCTCTCTGTTGCAGTTGTTAAATTATTTTAGCATCCGTTAAATTCTTTGAGCACACAGGATGTTGCCTGCTGCTGTCATATGCTCAGTTTCACTGTTACAGGCTGTAGCTCCTCTGCAGCGGTCTCTGGAGATTCGAGAGACTGCTCTGGATCCAGACCACCCGAGGGTGGCGCAGTCACTCCACCAGCTAGCAGGAGTTTATGTTCAGTGGAAGAAGTTTGGAAATGCTGAACAGTTGTATAAACAGGCACTGGAAATTTCTGAAAATGCTTATGGATCTGAACATCCTCGAGTAGCCCGTGAACTTGATGCACTTGCAACCTTATATCAAAAGCAGAACAAGTAAGATTAACAATATTGGTGTTTTTCTTTCATGTGGAGGGGGTACAAAAATAATAGCAGAGATTTTCTTCCTGAAGCCAGAATATTTCTTTAATTCTTTTTTTAGAGTTTCTTAACTTACAGTGCAACAGTGAGCATCCCTTCTGTATTACTGCAGCAGTCCATCTAGTAGGGGCTAATTTCTGTGCTTAGTTTAACAAGAAAATTCTGACAAGTTAGAGATAAAGGAGGAGCATTGTCTTGCCCTAAGCATTTTATATTTTTATCTTTGACAAAAAGTGTTATTTTTTTCAAAATTCTTAAATTTTCTTCAGATTTGTACATTCAAGTAACTTAGAAGCTTTCCAGAATAACCACTTATTCTACATTTGGCATTCTTTCTAACACTGTAAATAACTGTTTACAGATACGAACAAACTGAGCAACTGAGGAAAAAGTCTTTCAAAATACGGCAAAAAGCGGCAAGGCGGAAAGGCAGTCTGGTAAGGAAATGTTGGATTAGGTGAAGCATATAATAATGGCTGCACTTTTTACTTGTAATTCACTTTGCATGTAAGCATTAGCTTGGTAGCCCATTTTACAACGTGTGGTGGGTTGACCCTGGCTGGATGGCAG